AAAGTAAATCACCCTGTGCTACTTTCGCGGCTCGGTCTTTGTCTCCTTTGATAGCACCTGGAAGAAAGAAACGAACGGACTCTTGGTGTGTTATGAACGCGTAATGGTGGACAGGGTGTTGTTTCACAAATGACCCTGCAGTCCGTTTATGTTTTGCTGGACTAAATACGATAACACCTTCACTACCCTTCTAGTTTTACCTCTAATTTTTCGTGGGAACAGCGACAATACACCTGCTTTTGCTGTCTGCACCCATTACGATCGTGTCGACCGATGAACAGGACGCATACACTGCCTTTGTCCACAGTTCCGAAGATGATGCGGGTCGGGTTGCGGGTGTTGCATAATAAATATATTTAAATAATAATTTAGTTTAATGTTTAAATCCTCAGACCTCTCCCCCGCGGGACCGAGCATAATCATAACCTCTGCAGCGCATCTATCTGCTGCTGAACGCGCCACATTCTGAATGGCTGGGGTGAAGCTCTCTAGCGGAGAATACAGCATTTTCAATAACTCTTCCTCAAGAGCGAAATCCAACGTCTGGGAGGCTTTTGGTGTCATCCTAGATGCAGAAAATAACCAACATCCCAGGCTTTTTGAGCCAAATATGCAACTGCGTGTGTTAATAATTGCACGTTTTCACTGCTTATATATATGCGGGTTCGGGTCGGGTTGCGGATCTTGTGCCGGCGGGTCGGGTCGGGTTGCGGAACTAATTGGCAATATGTGCGGGTAGCGGGGTGGGTTCGGTATTGCACGTCGCGGGTGCGGGGCGGGAGCGGGTCTTGAAAATCAGACCCGTGCAGGACTCTGCCCTGGCAACACATTATGGCTGAAATATGATTGGATAAAAGCTCTAACATAAAGCTCAGCCCTCCAAATCTCGTTCTGAGGCTGGAAGGAGCGCAACCAAGAGGAAAGCTATGAAATGAAGAGAATAGACTATGGGGAATAATTTAATACATATTTGTGGAAAAAATATATCAAAATTAAATTTATATTCTGATGATGTTTAGGCCAACAGAGAAGGCCTTGCTGGCCCTGACGGCCCACCACTGCTTTCCAGTCCCAAGTAAATCTATGGTCAATTAAATTATTAGTTACAATAATTGCTTATTATGGAGGATCATTAAGTGAAACTAGCTGAGATATAAGGACACACTCTCAACTGTTACACACCAAGTTGTGTGTACTTTTGACCTGTTTAGGTTGGTATACATATAAGAACTCTTGACCTGGTTACAACCTCCTTACAGATGTTTTTATTGAAACTGCACTTGTTTGTTATCATGGTGATACCAGGCTTATCGTATCATTTGTTATTTCATAGTCTTAGGTCAATAGAATTAAAGTAGTTCAGCTGAGGTTTCTTTGTATGTACCTTCTTCTTAACCAGTGGCAACTACCTAATTGTAGTATAATTAACCTTTTATTTACGAGGTAAATACTTAGTAATTAGTGAGCTGTAAAAAAAAAAAGGGTTACTGGAAAGGAGAGCGTGTGTTTTAAAGTCCTCCATGAGTCCTTAAACTCAAATCCATAGGGGATTGGACGGGAAGTTCTAATAAAATGGAATGTCACCTTGATAACGAAAAGATACTTTCTACCCTCTCATCTCAAGTTGAGCATTGTTAAAAAGTTATTTAACACGTTTTTGGGTTATAAACTTTCGGACTTCTTAGCTGAGCTTTCTAAAAATAAATGTTTCTCCCTGACCATTGGCACTCATGCAAAACAGACACAAAACATCTTCATCACCTCCATATGGGAATAACCCTTACACAAAAGCAGCGTCTTTAGCTGAACAACTTGACATCCAACATGAAATGAAAAGCAGAGCATCAAAAATAACAAACCGCACTGGAGATCAAATATTTTGGGTCCCTCTATTCAGAGAAATGGGTTCCATCCAGAATGCCCTAGTCATCTGTGTAAAGCGTATTAGCCGATTAATAATAGCTAGATATCTGTGTTGCCGTGTCCTCTTTCTTTCTAGCTCTGGTTCAAAATCTCCAGGGGAGCTGATTTAAAGTTTCACTGAAATCACTGAAATAGGACTTCTGTAAAGCCACGGCCCTTGTCTTTATTTCTGAGGTGGTGATTTAACCTCAGACAACAGAGAGAGAAAGTTCAATAGACCACAAGGAGGTAAGAGGAGGAGCACGGTATCATTTCTACCGTCCAGATTTTGTGAGCCAGATTTAAACTGCGTCATTGACGAAACGTAATGCTCAGAAAAGTAGACAGAAGCCACCGTGCAACTGAGTGATTTTTGGGAGGTGCAGTATAAAGACACCACATATGTGACTGAAAAAAAAAAACATGTTAGGCGCTGCAACATCCAACTTTGGACATTAAAAACAAAAAGTGCTACCATTAGGACATTATGTCACTGGCTGGCTGTTTTCTACATGTCTAAATACCCACCTTTCTCTCTCATTGGCCTTGGTGGTCTGAATGTTTTGAGACAGATTTCAGATTTGTGGCCAACAGCGAGCAGCATTCCCGCTACTGAAGCAAGAATAGAGCTACAGTCCAGCTCAGTGATGCCAACATTAACAAAGATGAAAAGCACTAATTAAGTAAGTAAGGAAAGAAAAGCCAAACACTGCAGCACATGAGGCAGATGAGTTGGCTCCGCTTTATAGTCACATTCCCAGGGAAGAAGAGGCCGTTGAGTCAGAAGTTGCTGTTGTTTTAAGATTAAATCTGACAATAGTGTGACAGTTTCAGTAATCGTGCTCACATGGGATTGAGAAATCTGGTTCATGTCTGTCTCTGCTATTTTCTCTTTTTGTTTATGTGACATTGAAACCAACTTGTGTTACATATCTTTGTTAATCTAAAAATAATCCATCATTTAATGGGACAGTTTTTTAGTTTGGTCAACATTGTAGGTCATTGTTATGGATGTTAACAATTCAAATCTCATCTTTCAACTTTGTCCTGTCGTCTTTTGTCTGAAACTGGCTCTTTCACATGTGTGTTCATGCCCCAACCTGACTTCATTTTAGCAATGTTGCCACATTCCCAGATGTCCCAACTAGGAGAGTCGTGGGAAGAAAAGACAAATGGAAAGGAAGGAGCAAATAATAACACAACTTCACATGAAAGCAAGTCTATAAAAAAGGGTTTTAGATGTTATTTTAGTGATTCTATGAGCATTATCACTTTAGGGGGGTGATTCATAGGACTGGGGTCATTGGTGAAATTTATGTTTGGAACTTGAATTCCCTATAAAAGTGTTACTGCCAATAAAAATACGAAGACAGCACGCATGAGTCTGACTAACCAACAGAACCAGGCAGGGTTTGCCTATCTCTTTACTTTAAGTGACATCTAAACAGTATATGCAGTCTTTTCTGGATCTATTTTCCAACTTGTAGCTTCTCCACAGCTGAAGTGACTTCTAAGCAAACTCCAGTTGTGTGCCTTCAATTAACTGCTTGCTCTCGTTGTGTGCAGAGATTTCATCTTCACGATGTAAAGACTTAATGACTCTTTGCTAAACAGTGTCACCGCTGCACCTCAGGCGACAAATGGCCTATTAAAACACACACACACACACACACACACACACACACACACACACACACACACACACACACACACACACACACACACACACACACACACACTGAGTATTTAAAGCCTCTGTGTGTTATGTGAATGCAAGGACACATGCGGACACATGTGCTGACAGACTGCATGACGTGGGTTCTGGCCCAGATCATGTACACACACACACGAGAACACACACGAGCACACACACCCAAACAAGCAGACACAACAAAGTGGTAATATTAGCTATCAACAGGTTATTCCGTACATGCCTTAAGGATAAATAGGCAGCTAGAAATAAAAAGAGGGGCACTGGTTTGTGTGTGTGTGTGTGTGAGAGAGAGAAAAGTCAAAAAACATAGAGAGAGAAGTGGGTGGAGGAGGGATGGGGGAGAGGGGGGAGTAAATTAAGCTTCCCTGAAATGTCGTTTGATACACATGAAGAGGTGTCACAAAATGTACAAATAGCCATTTTGAGAATTTGGCCTATTTTCTTTTTAGGAACAAATATCTGAAATACACATTAAGATGTTCATTTTAAACTGTATCTACATTTGTTTCATAGATTCAAATAAGATAGTGTCTTATTTGAATAATTAAACATTAAAAATAAAGTATATTTCATAAAAAATGTGGGCTAATGTAATTCATGGAAGGGGGATAGTGAAATCTGTTAAATGTGCACTATTCACCTGTAGTGTCTACCGTTAAAAGGCCGAGAGGAGACAGAGGAAGACGTAACAAAGACATGGAAGATGATTAAAACAAAAAAATATGTTATTCTTCTACACTGCACAACCGTAATCAGAATCTCAAACCCTACATCCTGCTGACGCACTGTCTACTACGTCTGGCTAATCATGTCAACAACTGGCTAAAATCCAATATTACCAAACTAATGGCTTAAGCGCAGCCACCAAAGACGTGCAGGGGGGGGGGTATTGGGAAACAGAGATTGAGGGAAAGAGATGGAGGACTAAAAGGATGAAGACCACAAAGACATCGGGGGAGACGGAGGAAGAGAGGGGAGAGGAAGCAAACAAGGCCGGGACAAATTGATGAAAGCCAATTTGGCTGAACTAATGGACTGGATAAAACCACAATGAGAGACAATGAGACACTGAAGACGAGGAGGAAGAATCGACGAAGAGATAAGCTAAACGACAGGAGGAAGAAGGAGCTATGTGGAGCTCAAGGAAACAAATCAAAAGTGTATTGTCCATTTGCGTTGGTGCATCAAAAACCCATTGTGGTCTGCTGTAGAACGGATATTTAGTATTCCATCACGTCTGCTTTTGTGAATGCGATGCACCTTGAGACCAAACTGCAGTGATGGAAGAAGTACTCAGACCTTTACTTCAGTAAAAGTAGCAATACTACAAAGAAGCTGGAAGCTATTCCTTAGAACAGCTGTGGTGGAGTAAAGAGTGTCTCACCAGGTTGGAGCCTCCAGTCCAGTAGAGGAAGAATCCATCGGGGTCAACTTTCAGGGTCACCAGGGTGGGGGGGCCGCTGTTTGGCTCCTATACAAGAGCAGACGTAGAGAAGTTAGTGAGACAAAAAATAATATCCGTTTCTTCCTCAAACACAATTAGAAGTTAAGTGAGGTCCATGTTTAGAAGCAGATGGGTACAGGGTTATTACAACCGGTGTCTTATCTCAATTCATTCAGCCATACATTCTATTGGCTGTAAAGACTTCAAAGTCTGATGCCTGGAAACATGGCGCACAAAGACAAAAACAGGGATAGAGATGATCAGTGCAGCCATATTATGTGTATTAAGTTATTTAAAAAGGTATAGCTGAAATAATAACCTTTGTGAAAGCCAAAGTCGGGTTATTTTAACTGACAAGAAATGTGAAGTACGTCATTTATACAACGTTACAATATTTAACCCAAAACAGGTTTGAAATGATGTTTTCCAAATCCTAGCCACATGTATTGAGCACTAACGTAATCTTGTATACCATTACATGTAAAAAGTAACATAGTTGTCTTAACAATAGACCTGAAACGATATGGCTTTATACTATATTTTGATATGCAAAAATACATTAAAAAAAACTAACAAAAGATAATGAACAGCTGTTTCGATGATGCAAACAACAGTTTGGCTGTTTCATTCATGTGCAGTATAATGATGGCACAGGAGCCTGCATCAACATGTCATTAGCATCATCACACACACACACACACACACACACACACACAAA